ATGCTTGGCTGCTGGGACGACTTGTGTGCCGCCAGAGGGGCTGTGTGCCCGCTGTGGCACGTGTGCCAGAGGTTCACCACCACTGCTCTAGATCATTGGTTCCATTGTCTTAGTGCTCCAGCTGTCAGGAAGTTCTTCCTGATGTTCAGCCAGAACCTGGCTTCCTGTAACTTGAGCCTGTTGTTTCATGTCGTGCTCTCTGGGATTACTGAGAGAAGATCCTGGTCTCCTCTTTGGTGACAACCTTTCAGATGCTTGAGTAGTGCTGCTATCATCATCACTATCATCATAATCATCTTCAACATCATCAATTTCTCTACTGCCCATAGCTCTCTGGGCAATTTACACCAAAATATGAAAAACAATAAAATATAATAGATAAAATATTAACAAGAATTAAAATTAATTTTAAATAGCATAAAAATATATGACAATACAAAAGACTCAGCCAAGAATAAAAGAAAACACCTTGCTAATTGTGTCATGCTCCTAAATGACCAGGGAAGTCTTTAAAGGTCTCCACAAAGAGTCTTAACCTGGTGCCAAGATAGCAAGTTTGCCGCCAGGTGGGCTGCAGTAGGGAGGTTGTTCCAAAGATAAAGGGTCACTATAGAAAAGGCCCTCCCCCTAGTTGCCTCTTGCTGTGCCTCTTGAGGGCTTGGGACCTGGAGGAAGGCCCCAGAGGTTGAGCATAGTGTCCAGGCAGATTGGGATTGGGAGAGGGGACTTGACAAGTGTTGTGGTCCCAAGCCATGTAGGGCTTTATAGGTGAAATTCTGCACCTTAAATTGTGACTGGAAGCACATGGGCAGCCAGTGTAGGCAGGCCAGAATTGGTCTTAAATGTTTGGATCTCCGGGTCCCAGTTATTAATCTGGCTGCTACATTCTACACCAACTGCAGCTTTTGAACCGTCTAGGGGCAGCCCTACATAATAGCAGTAATCTAATCTAGAGATTACCAGACCATAAATCATTGAAGTCAGGTTATCCCTGTCCAGGTAGGGATCCAACTGGGCCACCAGCTGAACCTGATAAAAGGTGCTCTGAGCCACTGATATTACTTGAGCTGCAAGTGACAAGGATGGATCAAGGAGCACCCGAAGCTACAAAGCACCTCCTTCAAGAGGAATGCAACCCCATCTAGAACAGGTTGAATTCCCTCCATCTGGACAGAAGAACCACCTGCTAAGACTTCCTCAGTCTTGTCTGGATGATGTTTCTGAGCAGTTTGGATTTGAACTCTCAGCAGTTTGAACTCTGGATGACTTCACTCAGCAGTGTCAGGTAGATGTTAGATAGCATGGGAGACTGAACAGACCCCCGAGAAACTCCATACTGGAGAATCAGTGGGTCTGAACAATATTCCCCAAGCACCACCTTCCGGAGATGGTGGTCCAAGTAGGAGTCACATCACTAAATTTCCCTGCCAAAACCAGGCCTGAACCCTGATTGAAATGGATCCAGATAATCAGTTTCATCCAAGACTCCCTTGAGTTGACTGGCAACCACCCTCTCTAGAACCTTGCCCAGGAAAGGAATATTTCCTACTGGCCTGTAGTTGTTCACATTTTGTGGGTCAAGGGAGGGTTTCTTGAGAATTGGTCTCGGCACAGCCTCTTTAAGGCAGCATGGGACTGCTCCCTTTTGCATAGGTGTTGGTGACCTCCCTGGCCCAGCCAGTTATCCTTTCCTTGCTGGCTTTTATAAGCCAGAAGGATGTGGTCGCACAAACCTGCCCAAGCACCTTGTCCTCTTCCTTGAGCTGTACTGACTAAAATGCATCCAATGAAACTGGACTGGACTGTGCTCAGGATAACTCCACCAGTTCAGATGCTGTAATTCTGGAGTCTAGGTCCTGGCAAATGCAACAGAATTTTTTCCTGGAAGTGCCCCGTGAGTGAGTAGGTTACAGAGCACCAAAGATGGTTCCAAGGTGTCCTTCCAGCCAGAACGTAATAAGGCTCAGACAACCTTGAAAAGCTCTGCTGGGCGGTACAGAGAGGATTGAACAGAGGCAGCGAGGTACTGCTTCCTTGCTGCTCTCACTCCCTCAAAATATACCTGATTGTAGACACATACCAGTGTTCACTGTGAGTTCTTCACTGCATTCCAGCCATCTTCTAAGTTGTTTCATTGCTCCCAGCTCTGGGATAAACCATGGAGCTATATGAGCTCTACAGCAGAGAGGGCACTTAGGAGCAATCGTTTCAACTGCCTGGGTTATTCCTGGATCTTTCTCACTTGCAGTATTGTTGAGCCAAGTATTCCCCATCTTGTAACTATAGGCATTTGGTTAATTTTCCTGGGTGCAGTACTTGGCATTCGGCCTTACTGAACTAACAGTGACTAAAGGGTAGATGTTTCAACGTTAATAGAAAATAAGGAAAACACAATTCTTTGATTGTGTCAGAGGAGTCTGAGGAAAATTAAGTGGAAGACTCTTCATAATGGCTAGCTTCACACAACACAGTAAACTGTGGTGTCTTACTGCATTGACTGGTCCCAGCCAGAGTGGTTAAGAAACTGCTACAGCAAGCCACCATGGTTGATGGTGTTATAAGAAACCAATCACGAACTTCCAAAAGAAGAACAAAAAAAGTGGTATAACAAATAAAGTGAATTTGATCTCACAAAACTATCATTCCTAGCTTGATCCTATGTAAGATATTTCGAGTGGAAACATTTTCCAAATCGCTAATATCAGTTGTGTTTGTTTTTATTATATTTTAAAAATGCTCAATTACCTATTTTTTTCTGGGCAGACCTGAAAACTGTATGTGCAAATGTTTAGCAGGATGGAAGGAAAGGCTGCTTCAGGCAAATACCCCTTGCTGACATTCAGATTCCATAAGGAACTATATCTTCTGTCTTAAATAGTAAATATGATGGAAGAGAAATTAGTAGGGTTTTTTTTTCTTTTTTGGCTTGTAGTGATTTCTTTATATTGCTTTGATCTGAAAAAGTTGCATTTGTCTTTGTTTATCCATTTTATACTCTCAGTTTTTTAGAACCTGGCAATTGCTAGTCATTAAAGGTATGTGAGTTCTCTCTCCTAATTTACCAAAGAGCTAGTGTGTTGTCAAAAATTAGGGTTTATCACATAGTTGTTTTAAATCCTACTCAAACTTCTTTGCTTACTAATCTGTTTTTGGGCAAATGAATAAATATATATATATATATATGTAGTTTAGATTGTTTGCACATATAGCAGAGTCCATTTTAAAATAGACATTCTTTTCTGTGTGGGAGAGGACAAATACTTTTAATAAGATGGTGTCTGCCTCTCCAGATCTTTGTAAGTACTTATAAGAAAAATAATAATTTTAATTAAAATCGACTGAATGGCATTTATCTTCCTAAACAAAAGATTATTAATTAACTCAGCATTGCCATTGGCCAAGAGTGGTTGGGATTCTACTTACTTAATAGATTTACATTTATTGTTAGACAATTTGAATGCAGTGCAGTTTCTTGGATGTTGCTGTAGACAAAGTATAACTTAATTTTCTAAGGGGAGCAAAATGATCAATGCATAGGTAAGCCTGGTTGAAGTGTACTGTCAGGTCACTTGGACACAGTTCAGATTTGGTTTTATGTAGTTACATTTTGAAATGCACAGCAACTCCTTAAATAAAGCCAAAACAGAAAAGGAAAGAAAACTACAAATACAATCAATAGAAGTATCTGCTGAAGAATTATTTATTTTGGTCTAAACTGCCATATGTGTACATGGCAGTTTACAAAGAGCAGGTTTGATAGGAATTAATGTTTTGGGTAATCTGGCAGTATTCCTGCTATATGCATTATTTGCTGTAAATGATCGGCAAATATTTGACTCTGATTTCCCTGACACTGCCCTTCAAATATCTTCCTGTATTTTCAGCTGGATTTATGACTTTGCATGTGTTTCATTGAACTACAAAAGATGTTTGATTGTTTGCTGGGAGCATTTTGAAATTCTGATTGTATTTTGTATATAGAAAATGTTAGACCTTAAGGGGCCTAATGATTTTCTTTATGAGATCACTCAATTAATGGTGATAAGTGTGGTGTAACAATTCCATTGTTTTAATATTGATATTATCTGCAATGTGATTTTAATAGACGTTGAATTAATTATAGCCATAGCCTTAACTGAAAGAAACTTTTTCTGTAAAGCATTGAGAACAGAAAACCTACCCTAAAAATTATTAAAGATAATAATTTAGCAGGCCTAAACATTTCAATTAAAAACATCATTTGTAGGAATAATTTATTTTATAAGGCAAATTGTAATATTTAATACTTGGCTTTAGTTTACCTTAGGAGCTTCTGGGAAGTTATTTTTTGAAGTAATGCCCACAGAAAGTGGAAGTTGTGCCACAGCTCGCCAAGCAAAGCAAAAACGCAAATCTCACAGTCTTTCTATACGAAGAACCAACAGTTCTGAGCAAGAGCGGTCAGGATTACAGCGAGAGATGCTGGAAGGCCAGGTAAACATGACTGGAAAGTATGTCTTTTTGTACATCATTACTGTATTATTAGGGTGGATCACAGAACTTCGATGATAATTCATTGAATAACAAGACTAATTTTGTACCACAGACAGTGCTTTAAAAGAAACCAAAAGAGTACATGTGAGGGCAATGTGGAGCGTGTCTGTTCAGGAGTAAAGAACTACAACTCCTATGTGGAACATTTTGGTCCTTGGTTCATTTATCACTCATTTAAAAAATGTTTGGATGGAACGCAGGGGCTAAGTTAAACTCTCTCTTTGAGGCTTCATGGTATAATTGGGTTGGTTGTTTGAGGCCACCTAAACCATGATTTATGATCGTATGTTGTGACTGCTTCCCCCCTCCCCGCCTTTTCTTGTATGAAGGCTTCAACATAAAAAGCCTGATTCTTTTTACTAAACCAGAGTTCCCTGTTATCACCTGTACAAGGGAATTCTGGCTTGATGTATGTTAGCAAACCACGAAAATAAACCAGTCCTGCCTTTTTATTTTTTTAAAAAACCGATAACCTGGAAAACTCTGTGCAATGGGGGAAGGGGAGAGGTGAGCTCAGGTTGCTTGTCCTTGGCTTCATAACTCATGAACAATTGTTTATGAGGCCTTGGGTGATTGTCCAAAGCCAACACCATAGGTTGCTGCACCCCATTTTTCTTTTTTGGCGGGAAAATAAGTGCAGACTCTTTAGTTTAAAAATAGAGTTTTTTGCTATCTTGCGTAAACAACAACATTTAAATCTAAAGCCCTTTTCTGGGAAAATTGGCCAGAATCCAAACAACTGTGATACTTTAGGTTTATTTTCTTCCCATATCTGACTTGAGTCTTATCCATGTTATTCCAATTGCAGCAGGGCCAACTGTTTAAAGTTTTAAAAAAGGAGCTAGTGAACAGCATGGCCCTTTTGATTAGCTTAATCAGGCCTTTCATTCTCTTGTCTTGATTTGGGATTTTTCTGAACTTTTATGTTTCCGGCTCTGTTCTTTCTATCCCTTAAGTACTGCTTAAGTCTACACAAGTCTAGTTCAGGGAATTAGAGCTTTAACATGAACATTTCAGTAAAAATGAACATTGAGAACTAAATATTTAGTACTGCTTTACTAGGAACAAACCATAAGCTTTAGACTCCATATGTTAGCAATACCTGAAATCTTTCTAAGGTCTTGACAGGGTTTTAGGATTCTGACCAATGACAGAGGTTCATTGTCTTCTAACTTACGAAATTATCTTATTGTGTTCCCTGAATTTTGACTAAATAAAAGTGGCATCTGGTCTGCCCATCTTTAAGAAAAGATTTCCTTGAACAGCTTGAGAGGGATAACTTGTGTTTAATCTTGCTGTGTGCAGTATCTTGGGCTGCAGTGAACTGCACTGAAAATAGTACAGATAGCCATTCCAAGGGTAAATAGTTGCCGGGTCACATTTGTATTCGGAGCGTTGACAAATGAAAATTTCTTGCCAACTCAAAGGAGTATGTATTGCTCACTCTTTTCCTGCACCTAGTTTCAGAGAATGCTAAACCTATTCTCTCCCCATCTGTTAATGATGGAAATAATGGATTTCTATATTCCTCATGGAGTTTTGCTTGTAGAACTCATTATCCCTTTGATTGCTTTGTTTTCTTCTGTCCTATCTAAGCTATATTCTCTACCAAGGGTACTTTTTCACTACCATTTCCATAATCCCAGAACATTGATCATACTAATTGTGGCTTATGGGAACTGTAGTCCAAAACATCTACTGGGCACTGGTTGCTTACCCTCCTTTATACTAATACTTGATAAATTTGTAGAAGTCTAACAACAACTCCTTTCTTGTATGGAGGTACAAACATGTCAAACATTGGAGATAGAAATACTGTTTAAATTTGAATGTTTGTGTTTGAAATCTCTGCTCTGAAACAGAACTTGATTTCAAAGTAAGTTTTGGAATAAAATGGGAGACTTTGCATAGAATTCTGTAGCTTGTAAACCACAGTCTGTAAAACTCCTATAACTTTAACATGTTCATCCTCCCTAGGATTCAAAACTGCCATCATCTGTTAGAAATACACTTCTTGAACTTTTTGGCCAAATAGAAAGAGAGTTTGAGAACCTCTACATTGAAAATCTTGAATGTGAGTTCATATTTTTTCCTAATAGGTTATATTAATATAAAGCTAGGATAGGGTGCTAGTAAAATATACTCAAGATAGGAGAATTTCAAGGTCTCAATCCTATGCATGTTTAGACTGAGAAATGGCCTGCAGCTGCCAGCATGCCCCAGTAGGGTTGGCTTGCTGAGGATGGCTGTGGGCCTTTTCTTTGTCTAAACATGCATAGGATTAAGCCTAACAGTTTGATGTTCCAGATAATTTTTGTGGATCTCTGCTTTCAGAAACTGGGCTATGTTAGAAACTCAATATGAAATTTAAATTTCAGTTTCTGTGCACAATTTATGCAGTGTGAGAATACAGCACATGTATTTATAATCTTGCATTCTGCCATTTTTAAATTCCTCTTAGCATGAGTGTTTACTGGCACTCTACACAAGTGTTTTTCATACCGTTCTGATCATAGTTCTTTAAAGCTATAAACTGGGAACATTCAGATCATGCTTCATGTTGAGTTCTTGATCACACTAAATAATGGCTATACCTCACTATTTTAAGCAGCTCCTGCCTTTCACAAGCTAGGTCAAAAGGCAGCATAAGAATGTAATGTTAAATACTGAGGAACAAATGTGAGTCAATAAGACTTAAAGAGAAGTTGATCTTCACGTGTTCCAAGATAGGTAGGAGGAGGTGTGGGAGCACCCTGGCTCTGACTTGGATGTTTTCAGCTCTACCGCCTTTATCCCAGATCTTCACACATTGGTTAGAATGTCTGAAGGAGGAATTTACACAGTTCTCACAATTAGGAGTGCTGCAGACTGGGATTTCTGATAATGTGGCTATGGCATTTGAGCCTACCGTGTATCTGGATTGGATGTTTTTGTTATTTTAACTTGACAGTAACAGAAGTTCTAATGCTAGGTTCATTGTCTTCTAGTTTGGAATGAAGTTACATGCAAGAATAAGCTTTGGCAAGCAGTGATAGTGGAAGGGGATAGCCATTTTTCCTTCTTGAATTTTCATTTAATTTATTGAGGGTTGTTCCGTGTCACCATTTTCCCTGTAGGAGGTACGATTTTTTTTTAAAAGATAGCAACATTTAATGCAAAGTTTTATCAGAGTTTGGCTGCTGGCTTGAGATTGTTGCTGTGCACAGATAACCAGGCAGCCTTTTGTAGATGGAAGCTAAGAACTGTTTGTCTGCAGAGTCAAGGCCTTTGAACTAGGGAATATGTGGTGATTTAAACATTGGAATCGAATGCTTATGGTTTACATTAACATCTTTTTTTCTTTTTTCTTTTTTTTTTTGCTACTGCTAGTACGTAGGGAGATTGATACACTTAATGAGCGCTTAGCAGCTGAAGGCCAAACCATTGATGGAGCTGAACTGAGCAAGGGACAGCTGAAAACAAAAGGTAAGAAGAGAGTTGACAAATATGCCTTTTAGTTGGCTTTTCATGCTGTAAGCTGGACGTCTCTTGGAAGGGTATTAACATCAGTGTTCAGATAAGATAAACACCCTTTAAAAGCAAACAAACTTCCTTTAAATTTTATTTGTCTCAACAGCCAGTCATAGTACCAGTCAGCTCTCTCAGAAATTAAAGACTACTTACAAGGCATCTACTAGCAAGGTATGAAACACACAGAACTTTCCTTTTACCTATCATATTTACTTACCAGCCTCATTTGGGCAGTTTTGTATTAAGGTACTGTCTACTCATAAGCATGCTTAGTGAAGGCTAGAAGAGCAAACAGCGTCTGTATTTATCCAGTCCTTCAGAAATGTTGCTTCAAAACGATTTTAAATAATACTTAACAAAAAGAATGACAGCAGGAGGTTTTCTGCAAGAGCCAGCTGCAAGATATTTTTAAAAAGCTGTTAATGGAAAACTAAAATTAGGAACCTTTTGACCAAAAGGGACTCTTGAGGAATCAAATGTAATTATGGTATTTTAATTAAAACAGGTATTTAAACCATTTGGCCTGTCATTGCTCCTAGTTCATGAGCATCCTTTTTATTGTGATCCCTTTCCAAACATGGGTGGCAAATTTTACTTGCAGTTATGATGCTCATAGATGCTTTGATTTGTCAAGCACATGCCAGTTGTAGAATGTTCTTAGCACATCGAAGTAATAGGTATTCATAGAGGAAAAAGTCCCAACACATAGTTTATTTTTCCTGGCTTTCAGAAGAAATTAGATGTTTAATTTATTTATTTATACCTTTTCTACCCCATTCACCACTGATGTCTCAGGACAGCTTACAATAAAAGAACAAATACAGCAAAACAAGCACAGCATCCGGCAATTCGAATTAATTCATGTTCTGGTTAAAAGCTAAATTTTAGATGCTACTGGTGTTATTTAAAATTCCTAGAGTGCCAGTACCACATTTTTTTGATTGGGCAGCTGGTATTTTTCACCTCTGATCATCTCATAATGTTTGGATTGTTAATCAGCTAGGGAGAGAAAAAGCTCTGTCTAATTCATTTATTCATGTTGTCTGGCTCATTTCCAGAAAAACTAAGGCAAGGGCTTGTCCACTCCAAACTCACTCTGTGTTTGTTTAATGTTTACATTTTTAGATTGCCCAATAATAAAAGTTAATAATAACTTTCCCCTTTCCAAAATTCTTCATTATGTACTGCACAGACACAAACCCATACAGTTTGAGCGTCACTTAATTCCCATCCTAGGATATCCAAGGGATGCTGTTAGGACCCTTTAGACTTAGGCAATCTCACTCATGCGACCTCTGTCACCAAGTGCATAGAAGGATGATGGGAGCTGGGGCAGGATGCAGTCTAGGAGGGGTTTTACTCATACTTCCAAGTCCCGCCACCAGTTTTATGCTCAAACTTCATCCTCCACCCTGTGCTAATGCCAATTCATTTGTACTTGGAAGGGGAAGTGAATTTGAAATTCCTAAGAGATTTGAAGCTCAGGCTTGGCAAATCCCTCTTGTACACTTCCAATAGCATTTGGGACAGCAGTGGGCTCTTGGAAGCTGTAGAGCTCTTCTACATGACATTTAGAAAGTATCCTCACAGCATAACATTTCAGTACAGTTATTCTGTTTTTGGCCATTTTCGATCTAGTACCCTTCCATATATATATATATTTAGAATAATTATTTAGCTTATTGCCCTTAGATAGTGGAAGATTAAGTATAATGTGAATGCACAGTTCTTATGAGGATTTTAATATACTCTTAAGATGCTTTTAAGTTGTGTATGGGTTGTGTTTACGATATTCCAGTTTAGTTAAGTGAGTTTCATCTTTTGCCTTTCTACATAGATTCCACTGTCATTTTGCATGCTGTAGGATGGAAATCTATACTGTTTGATTTTGTATTAGTATAGCATTTATTTCATATGAGCAGCAGAGTGTTAACTTTCTACATAGTTATTAAATAAAGATATTTAATGTTAAATGTATGTTATAAATCACTGTCCTTGTAAAAGCAAGTGCTGAATACTTATCTTTTCTTGCTTGCTACATAGCGCTCAAATTCTTTCCCAGGCAAATCAGGTGGACCTCGCAACTTCAACGTAGGAAGCTGGGAAATATGGGGTGGAGACTCCTGGGTAACTGCTTTGCTTCCCAGTGTGCCAATATGCATGCCCAGCTAAACAGTAGTGAGTGGTGGAACATGCAGAATCTCCAGTTTTCCTTCCTGGATACCGTATCTGTCAACTGTGTCTTCCTAGATCTTGCACCCTCAACCCTAGTAATTTCCTGCTTTTTCTTATAGATGCTAATTGTTTAAGTCGGAAGCAAAGAAAACAGGAACAGTGTTTTCCTGTTGTGCTAACAATGACTGAGTGTATTTTGTTATAGGCACCTAAGGTGGGACATGATCTCTGCATGGGCTAAGTACCCACAGACAGAGGAGGCTCCCCAGACCATAACAGTCATGTTTTCCCCTCCCCGCTATATTTAAATCCACACAGTTAGACCAGGAGGTTGTTAAGGGAATGGGAGGACCCCTAAAGATCATTTGGTCAAGAAATGTGAGCTCTGAGATAGCGGGTTGGTTGGGGACGTAAGAAGTGTGCATAAATCTCTCATTCTCCCAATGATTCAGTGAAGAGTTGGGATGTTGAGGAGATATGGCAGAACAAGGTTCTGTTATTTGTCCTATGGGGATCTCTCTATAGGTCCATTTCCTTAATAGCCTTATAAATGTGCTGTTTCACTGGTGCAGTGCATAAAACAGCCATGCTGACCATTTCAGAAATATTGATACTTCAACAGAATGTCATACAGTGTCAAAAATGTATTGAATAGCCTTAGTAGTAGTAACAACTGTAAATAACCATGATATAGTTGGGGAAATTAACTAAATTAGCTACAGTGGAAAACAAAAGCTTGTAAGCTCTCTAGTATCTTGTCACTGATTCTAGGAACTCAGAGGAGTTTTAGTTTTATGAACAGCAAGCCCTCCATTTATTTCTACACAACATGGCAAAGCTTGTTTGAAACTAAGTGGAGTTTATAAAGCAGCTGTGAAAGGGCTTGAAAACTGCTGTTAAGAAAAGGAAAAAGCAGAAATCCATATGGACTGCCACCTAGGGAAGAGCAGGTCAGTTTGGTACACAGAGTATTGTTAAAACTTAAATCGTATTTGCAGAGGCATAACTGAAAAAAGGCTCAAATCTGCTGGTAGAGTAGTATTTAAACTGGCTAATGAAAATAAACATGAATAAGCAAGATGAAATCAAACAATGTTTACAAATATCTTAAACATTTAGTTCTAAAAATGAAAGTATTTGCAAATACCAAAGAGGCGGCATTTGCCCTTGCTTACATAACAGTATTAACCTGTAGATGGCTGGAATGGGGCCTTATACTGCAGGCAGTGACCAAGACCGATAAAGATCATGTGGAAATGTTTGGGAAGGTGCTAATAGCAGTCTGAATTCATGCAGACTGATGGCTTCTTCTTGTATTAACTGGGCTGCTGTTTCCCTTATCTGAATAGATACAGTTTTATTCCCCCATGCTGCTTTCTTCCACTTTTTGTCTTATAAGCCTGAAAAAGCAGCTTATGAAATACTGACAAGATTTAGCCTATTCTCTATTTCAGAAGATAAGCAGCAAATCATTTATTTCTGAAAGTTGTAGAAGGATGTGTTTCTTTGCAGAAGTTAATTGAACCTTTAATAGGAATTTAATATTGGTGCATAACTGCATATTACTATAATTTCCTTCAGTACTGGCATAAAGCCATAGTCAGCACCATTACATTGGTGCAGCAATTGACCACCCTCCTTGTGAAGTGCTTGAGTGGTATAGTAAGTTTGACTGGCTACTCATGGAATTCTAATGGTTGAAGAATACTGATCGGCCTTCCATTAGCCTTTTTAAAATGAGAAGATGACCAAAATATCAAATGGCACTAAAAATGGTATTTCTTTGGGATAAGTGTCGATTACTCTTTCTGATGATTAAACCAGCCCCAACAAATGTCTCAACGATTTAGTAGAAGATCCCACCTAACAAAAGAGAGAAAAGTCTTTAATCTTAGGAACAATCTCTTAAAGTATCAGTGATTTCAAACTTTATAGGAAGTAGACTCTATAATGGTCCACAGCTATAAGTTTGTCCATCTATGTTCCCCTCTTGAGATATTGCAGTGAGCCATGTTGTGAGGAATTCTAGATCATGTGTGACCTTCCATCCAAGAACAGTCTCTTCAAAAGCCTTTCCTCACAGAGGCGTTGGAGGAGAAAATGGCAACAAAGCTACTTCCAGCAGCAGTGCCTTTCTCCTATTAGAAGCCACACAGCCACCCCCCTCCCCCATTTCTCTCATCTGTTTGCATGATGACAAATCCCATTACTGACAAGCAGCTGCTGCGCATTCCACGCTGTTAAATTGAAAGGCTGCCTAGCAACTAAGTCGCACTCGAGAGAAAGCCACTCACATACGCCATGGACTCTTGGTCAGTTCTGCAAGAATGAACCATTCTGTTCCACTGAAACCTGGGTGGGACATAGAGCAGCATCAAAAACAAATGGTAATTGTAAAAATAATTGCTAATGGGATGGTCAGGGAAAATTCATTAAACATCCCTGCTGAGAGCAGGGAGCAATGATTGCCATGCATAACAAATATGGAAATGGGAGGTTGGGAGTGACTTGGAGTGTAGAGGCTAAGCAAGGGTTACTGGTTTGATTGGCAGTGTATCTGAAGATACAGGCAAGACTCAGAGAGCACAGATGTTGCACCTAGCATTCTCTCTTGGAAGACTTGCCTTTGCTTGGTAAGCTGCAGTTCCAAGAGAGCAGAAGGGAAGGATCTCCTCAGGATCTAGGAGAACTTGCGGGGGGGGGGGGACGACTCCTTTACTCAGTCACTGTTACACTCATGTAACTGTTACTGGAGATGTGTTACACTCGTTAGTTACACTTGTTTGGCATCCTTAAGCCAAATTTTCATTCATGTTTCCTTTTCCTTGGCCTTAGTAATGTAGGCTTTTAAAGAGTGCTCCTTTTTAGGAACACAGAAATATTATCTGCTTCAGCAATAGATTTGCTGCAGACTGAGCATAGGAGGTCACCAGAGGAAAACAGTTAGAATGGTAGGAGGAATTCAGCTAAATTCAGGAATTCCTCCCTGGATTACTTTTGTTTTTTGGAAATCATAATTTAAGGGAAAAAAAGATTTTTTTCAGGAAGCTAAAGAACTATTTCCATAATTCATTTCCCTTCTTGAATTGAGTGGTAGGCCCAAGAGCCTAGTTGGAATCTTCTCCGCTTTTATTAACAGTTGAGAGGTATGCAAGTCCTGTTCCTGCAATTTATTCTACTGTTCCACTTCTCATACATAACTCCATTTTGTTTGAAGACATTTATTAAATCTGACAACTGAATTTTAATATTGTCTTGAAAATTTTATGATTAATTCCACCTTGCGGTTCAAGTACTAATCTTTACCCAGTTCTGCAAGAATTAACCTGTTTCCTTTTCAATGCATCCATGATAATTATTGCTTCTACTTGCTTTGAAACAATTCTGCTCATTAACTACTTAATTATGATTCCATCTAGGTCTCATTTCATTATTACAAAGATTAACAAAGAGAAAAAATGGAATACTTTTTTACCTTCTATGATATTGCAGTCTTCTAGCCTTCAGTTCCTTTAAAAAACATTTAATTTAATATGTTGATAGAACACCTGGTCTTTTCTCTCTGTGTCTCTTTATCATTCAACATCCCTAGGACTTCATTTGTAATACCAGAATTGGGTATAATGGAAATCTTTTCTGTGTTTGCTTACAAGACAGTACAAGTTGCTTTCAGGATTCTGGTTTAATAACTAAGCTTTGATTATAAAACACTTTATATACTGACTTCTAATGCTAAGGTTGCTGCTAGAATTTTTAATATGTCTTTTAATTAAAAGTTGAGAATATACCTAGCCTCTCCCTTCATGCCCTTTAATCTTTTCATGGCAACATAGACTCTTCTATTTCAGCTGCTATTGAAATAGTTTGTAAATGTCCTATTGTTTACATACATTAAAATAGGTTAAAGCCATTTCCTACATTACAGAGTAACAAGCCTTGGTTTACCACTATGGGTTGAATTCAGACTTAGTTATATTTAGAATGTATCTATTGAAATCTTGGGACATAACTTAGCAATGACATGATTTTAATGAGTCTGCTCTAAATGTGACTAAACCTGAATCTAACTTTGTATTTGGTAGGGAGGTGCACCTATTCTTTCCACACCCCCTCACCCAGTGTAATACACATGATTTGAAATGCTTGTCACTTTTTGCACTTTATTTGAAAAAGCTCTTAGGAACACCCTAAAACCATTGTGTGAAAAAGAACTCTTAACATTGTTTTTCCCCATTGTCTTTTTCTTCAGAGTGCCTCTTGGGCATGCTTGCTAAAGTAGGCCTTTAAATTATAGAGGTGCTGTTTCAAATCACTCCAGCACCTTATGCAAAATACTGAACAAATGCTTTTGCTTTTGCTGAAGTGCACATCTAATGTGAGCATCTGCTTTTGAGATACTTCTATATAGAGAATCTGGCAGTGGCTTGGCATAACAGTGCTACTGGAGATTAATATGTGAATTAGCAAAAATATGTATTATCCTTTAAGGTATAGAAATAGGATATTAGAGCATGGCACATTATAGGAATTATTGTCACTTAAACCACTGCTCATCAATCTTTTTTGGGCATTTGGTCCACTGTTGGCCCTAATCTAATCTACAGCTCATTTTTAACCTATGAGAAGTATGAAACTTTGACACTCTAAACTTCATAGCTTCTTTGAGTGTTAGTTCTGGTAGAAAACTGGGGAACGAATCAGATCAATCAATAAATATTGAAAAGATATTCAGGGGACACATAATTTCCCTTAAAATCATTAGTTTTAATGTGCAAAGGAGCAGTAGCAAAGTCATTGGTCTGCTTCTATTAATAAACTTATCTCCATCAAACCTGCGGTGCATCTTGTATGCCAACAGCATTTGTAGGTTTTATATTCAACTCCTGGCTCTGTTCCATTCAAAGCACCCCTCCTCATGCGTCACTGAGAGGGCTGTTAACCAGAACCCTGAAATTTGATATCATCTCACAATATCATGGCAAATATGCTGTTTCTGCATGGTTTTTTGCTGGAAACCTAGTGTTGTCTCCTGCTATCCTGAAGTGTGCGCCAGCTATCTAGTTATCCTAATTAATGCTTCCCCTAAACAATGTTGGCTTTGGTAAGGTCAGCAGGATCACACTCTTAGGTGGGTTACATACTTGAGGATAGTGACACAAAACCTAGCCATAGGTTTTGAGTTAATAAAACAATGTTGGGAATCCTGACTGGATATGGCGCAAACATTTGACATGGGTTTTGTGTGGGTACCAAATGTTGGGGTTCAGAGTTAACATTGCTGTCATTGAGTACCCTCCCAGATCCTCCTGCATGCCAAAACAGCTGCCCCTCCTCCTATTCTTCCAGTCTAACTTTTCCTGTCTTTTCAGCATCTCTTTCCTCTCCCCTTAACCCTTTATGGTGCCTTGTTGAAGTATTCACCCTCATTTTACTTTTTCACATTTTGTTACGTTACAACCAAGAACTGGAATATATTTAATTGGCTTCGTTACCACAAGATACTTAATGCTGAGTAGGTGCAGAAGATTTTTATTGTGATGCAAAAGTTAGATAAGCCAAAACAAATGGCACTTGTTGGATATGTAAGTATTCACCCGTTACCTGTGATGTGCCTAAATAAGCTCTGGAGCACCCCATTGCCTCCTGAAGACATATGTTGGAAGTAGTTGAACTGGTTTCACCTCTGTGCCCCATGATTTCAGATTAAATACCTGTTTCTGGAAGATTCCAGAGCTTGTTGGAGAGTATATCTAAACAAATAGCATCATAAAGACCAAGGAGCTGTCACAATAGCTCCAGGATAACAGCTCCACTGACCAGGACTGGATTATTAAATAAATCCCAAACTATGAACATCTCTAGGGCTCTACTAAATCATTATTACAAAATGCAAAGAACATGACTCAGCCATGACTCTGCCCAGAGAAGTTTGCCCAGCAAACTTCCAGGTAAAGAAGGTGTTAAGCAGAGAACCAACCAGTAGGCTAGCAATAGCTCCAAAGGATCTGCAGTTGAGATGAGAGATCTGCAGTTGAGATGGGAGAAACCAGCCCAGCAATGCTTTGCAAAGCTGGGCTTTGTGGAGGGGTGGCAAGAAGAAAGCTATTGCTGAAACAAGCCCATACCAAATCTGTTTGGGAAGATATGTGGGAGTCCCAGCAAACATGTGGGAAAAAATTCTTTGATGAGACCAAAAGGATACTTTTTGGCCATGCTGCAAAACACTGGCTCAAAGCCAACGGTGGTAATTGCCTTGAGAACACCATCCCCACAGTAAAGCATGGTGGCAGTGGCAGCATGTTGAGAAGATGCTTTTTCTTGGCAGGAACTGGGGAACAGGTCAGGACAAGAGCAAGATGGATGAAGCCAAACACAAAGGAATACCCGATTCATTTTGCAGGGGCCTGGGACTGGGGCAAAGGTTCACCTTCTAAACAATCAGCCTGAGTAATACCAGAATAGTTTAAAAACAAGAACTTGAATGTCTTGGGATTGCTTAGTCGAAGCTCAGTCTGCTCATTGTTGATCCTTATCCAAGCTGACATAGCTAGAGTAGTTTTGCCAGGAAAGATGGGCAAACAGTGCAGGATCCAGATGTGCTGAGTTGCCAGTCTTATCTAATAGGACTTGCAGATAGAAATGCTACCAGTGGTGCCTCTACCAAATTCTAACTTGTACCAATAGATCCATCAAGTGCCAGCCTATCTTTGTTTAACTGTTTGCTGCAGTAGAAATATTTTAGACCTTCATGGTGTGGAGTATCTTGTGTACATCAGGTAGTAACAATACCAGTTCAATTAGTTTCTTTTCTAGGTTGCAATCCAACAAAATGTGAAAAAGTCAAAGGGTGTGTGTATGTGTGTACACATTTCTGTTAGGCACTGCACAATCAAATTCTGAATTTCTTAATGCCCAGTCAGGAGATTTGGATGCAATGGAATGGCAGCCACTGATATGGCCTTGCTTTCTATACCTGAATAGGAGTAGGTGTGAAATATTATTGGGGTGCTGCAGAGCATACTGGGAAGCTTGTAAAGGGCCATGTCCCAGCCTTGACTGCACCATTATTGCTTCATTTTAAACCATTTTAAACTCTCCTTTCAGGATGACTGTCCTTGCAAAGTGGCTCACGCTATTATAAAAAGATGAATACAGTTTTGAATCACACACACTACCAGCAGCTAATCATTGTAAGTGGCCAACGTAGTCCAGAGTAAATGTGTCTTCAGAAGTTTCCATTACAGCCAGAAATGAGGCCACATGAATTTCCCTGTGGGGGAAGCTCTGAAGGTGTGGGGCCACTACCGATAAAACCTGTTCTCTAGGGTTTGCCATCCTAATAGTTCTTGCTCATGAGGCAGAATAAGACCTCTGGTGCTGGTATTAATGCTTGGCCAAACTCATACAGGTGTAGAGTCCTTTATATAGCACTGTCCCAAAACTAGTTTGAGGGTAGGATATGCAACTTGTGGAGCTCTCAGATGTTTTCACCCACAGGCATTGCTGGCAAAGCCCAATAGGAGCTGAAAGCAAAATTGCCGCAGCTTAAGTTAATCCTGGAAATAGGCAGCCAATATGAGCAATACAGAATGCATGCTTGCTGCTTCTACTGCTAAGTCTGCCCACTTACTGGTCTTGCAATGTGTTGGTTGAACACAAATGAGTTAATGCTGAAACATTACTTCCTTTGGCTAAACTGCATCTATGTTACAGCATTTCTATACTGCGCCACATCCAAACTTACTGGAGCAGTAAGCAGGACGAAACTAAAATACAAGAACAAAAAAACAATATATTAAAAACATTTAAAAACAAGGTAAACTTTCAGCTTTGGCTGATCAGCAGGAAAACCTTTCCTGGAATAGGACTGTCTTTAGCAGGCATCTAAAAATGTACAGTGTCGGTATCTACCTTATCTCCTTAGGCTCAGGACACTTATCCTTGGACACTTAGTGGTCCTGGGGAGCAAATACTTTTTCTAATTTCTTCTCTTTAATCTGGTGATCCAGCATTTACCAAAATCAATATGCATAATCTTGTGTTTTAGGTTATAGCTCCTCTATTGTTAACTTTAGTACCAAGGCTTAGTCGGGAAACAAGGTTAACTGCTGCTTTCTTTTTCCTGTTAAAAGCTGCTACCCCTTCCCCTCTCCCCCCTTTTTAGTGTAATAGCTGTTAATTTGAGAATCTTTCTTCCCCAATTTTCTCCAAAGACATTTAATTAGAGTAGGGAATAAGCGATTCATTACTGTTTTTAAAGCACTCATCAGTGTTTTTATATTTCTCTTGTATTATTATTTATTCATTTTTCTACTGTTTCTTGAAAAGAATGTTTCATTGTCATGCAAAAGGAATTGGCTTGTGCTTCCAGGTTAATTGTTATTTCTTGTGTATTCTAGTTATATTTTGCCCTTTCCACATTGCTCTGAGCTTTGGATTTTTATGCTACTCTTTTTCCTTCTCCCAAACTTAACCATTTTTTGCTAAATAGATAGATGCATATGCCACATATAATACATTGTAGATAGAAAAAAGACTAGTTGCTGCTCAGATTATACCCACCTGTTTATCAGGAGAAAGGAAGGGAAAATCTGAGAATATGCTGCTTATGATCTCCTAAAATGCTTACATTGGGCCAAATTCTGCTCTGGTACACACAGTAGTACCCTGTCCAAGCTTCACACAGGACAAATTTGGTCCCATTATTTTTAGGAGTGAACATCCTAGAGCTTATGCTGCCATTAAACTGTGCTGCAGTGAAATGTTTCAGGGACTTCTATTGGATGGGTAAATTAGTAAAGAATTGTATCTTAGATCTGCTTCTTGATTTCCTTAGATCGTATCCAGTTTCAAAACAACTTCGTCTAGAGCAATCTGTCAGCTGGTGAAAGAGTATATTGGTCATCGGGATGGAATATGGGATGTCAGTGTCGCGAAAACACAGCCAGTGGTGCTGGGGACTGCATCTGCTGGTAATCTTATTTCTCCTCTTGAGTGCTGCTGTGGCTGCTTCTATGCTAGACTGCATATGGCCAGCTAGTGGCTCATGTTTCTGGCTTCTGGCTCTCTCTGTGCCAGATGAGCTACAGCTGGCTTCGCACAGAGAGGTTCCGAGACTGCTGGGGCGTCTTACTGAGCCCTCGGAGGGTCGTGTGTTGGATTCTTATGTCTGTGGGACTGTAATTCCCCGGGCCAAGCTGTGTGAGCTGAGGAGAGTCCACCAGGCTGAAGACATTGGCCATGGTTTTCTAAACAGTGTATGCTTTCATGATGGCACAGGGCTCCTACATACACCAACACCTACATGCATATGCTCCCATTGTGGTTTTGAGCCACATACCTTCTTTCATGTTTTGCCCTGTACCTCTCTAAGCATAGTCCCTTCATGAAGAAAATCCTTGAATTTTGGATACTGTTGTATCTCTTTAGATAAAACTTTAATTCTTACTTCTAAGCTTCAAAGTGCTGTGCAATAGTGCTATGCAATATGTTAACAATGGAAAAAAAAAGATTCTTCCTCTGTCCAAAATGTGGAGTCTTAGATGCATTAGCACCATCGACTGGACATTAAAGAAAGCCAGAAGGGCAGGATGCAGAGAAATTGGAAAACAACACATAGGGTGGTATTCAGTTAGCCAGTCTGACCAGTACAGTGGATTTAGTCCATGGAATGGGAAGTGGGGAAAGTTCCTCTATTCCACCTTGCATTCCCTTGCACACACCCAAAATCTGTCTCCCTGGCCAGTTCGTATGTGTATCCACAGTACTCAACTATAGGAGCAGGTGGTGACTTTCATCTAAGGCAGCTATCATGGTTTGGAACTGTACGGAGACATTTGATTGCCCTAAAATCAGTGCTTTCAGTGGAGTCATTTTAGAATCCAGTTGACTAACGACATTTTGAGAAATCCACTGAAATACGTATATGTATGAACCACCCAAAGTAATGATCTGATGCAGGCATGAAATCTCTCTCCTGGGTCAAGCCAGAGAAAGAAGAACTGTGTGAATCCTCTGAGGGGCAGTCCTTCATCTTAGAATTGTGTGTAACGCTTCCATCTCCTTTTGTCATGCTCAGTTTACGGGGGCTTAGCTTGCCACCCCCAGTCTAGTTGGTGGTGGCATGTTTTGCTAGTAGACCCTAGCCTGTAAATTAAAACATTTACCTGTTGAAATATACTTTATATTTTCTTTCTTTGAATTCTCACAGATCACACTGCTTTGCTGTGGAGTATAGAAACAGGGAAATGCCTTGTCAAATATGTTGGGCATGCCGGATCAGGTGAGGAAAAAAATGCCCATCAGAAAAAAACCATGTTATGTCCTCTTACAGTGACATATATGATCAATGATAAATTCTTAAGCACTTCCCTTTGTGCAGGAAGCACACTTTCCTCCAGTGTTTTTGATCAAAGGAAAATACACTGTGCACATTTAGTTAGAGTATCTGTAATATCGACATTTCTATAAAATACAGTCGCTGAGCACACAAGAAATAACCAAGTGTACTCATTTGCAAAGTAGGCTTTCAGATTGCTGGCTGCTTTGCTATGAAGACAACTACCTTAAAGTTCTCTATCGGGGCAACTACCTAAATTTCTCTATGATTTACCTAGACAAAACTGTTGGAATTCTTAATTATAGACCGAAGGTGGGGATGTGAGGCTTTTGAGCACTTGATCTAAAAAAGCCTGCTGCTTGTAGTGAACTGGCAGACTCCGCTTCCATGCAATGGGCTAGAATAAGTGCACATTCATACATGTAGGGGCATTCCGCAAAGAGCCTCAACATGTTTTTTTTTTCCTGATTTATATCCTGCCTTTTTCCTACAAAGGGCTCAAGGCAGCTTACATCATTCTCCTCTTCCATCTTATCCCCACAACAACAACCCTGGGAGGTAGGTTGGGCTGAGAGTCTGTGACTGGTCCAAAGTCACCCAATTGGCTCCATGGCCGAGCGGGGACTGGAACCCAGATCGCCTGAGTCCCAGTCCCATGCTCTTAACCACTACACCACACTGGCTCTCTGTTGGCTGAATGTGGTCACAGAGTCCAGTATGAACTGCAGTAAGGCTTTTCTGTGGATTTATTTGCATATTGATGGATTGATTGTTGTTTTTGTTCACCCAGTAAATTCCATAAAATTCCATCCAGCTGAACAAGTGGCGCTTACAGGTATGTAAATATTTTGTGCTCTCAAAATAACATTTACACAATGCTTGGGAGCAAATTTGTCTCTTGCGTTTCATTACTTCATCTGTGTTTGTGTGTTGTGAAGTTTGACAGCTTGCTACCTCTGTTAGATTTTAGCATACAGGGCTATAGGAAGGACTGTTAAGAACATAATGGTCTTTCCAGCTCAAACTAAAGTTCTGTCTTTGCACAATAAGCTATGAGAAACCACTCAGAGATCATTTAGTTACAGGGTGGATTAGAAATGTAACAGATAAGAGCTAGTTTGTGAAGAGGACATGAGGGTCTTTTGCTTTGAGAAATTATGATCAATGTTTATGTTTGGTGTTTATACTTAATCCTGTCCCCCAGGAGCCCTGATAGTTGTGAGAAAATGGTGAAGTATTGTTGTAGGTACAGATAAGGGGTGCTGGCAACTTTATCAGACATGGAGTTGCCTGCAGAGCTTCATGTGTAGGCTCCATTGCTAGTGAGAATGGATGAATATCCTCTTGGGAGGTATGCCATGTGTGCATTATTTTTATAAATAGTTAGATATCAAACATACATTAATTTATGGAGAATATATACGGAGTTTCTGACATCGTGTCACTTGCCTGATCATTGGGAAGTATCCAAAGAGTCATTCAGTTTCGGCTGAACATGAACTAACTGGTCAGTAATACTATTGGTTAAGTAAAGTGTGTAGATTAGTCATAATGATAAGAAATGGCTGGTGTTCTTTAACATGCTGCTGGAAGGACTTGGTGATTTGCCCTCAGGACAGCTCAGTTTCCTCAAACCAGTTTTTCCATGACATCCAGTTTGGCAAACTGATTTCAGTGGTCCCTCTAAACCCAAATCAAACCATGGGTTTGGAATGCTAGTTTGGAGGGGTTGCTTAAACTCCTTGCTTGTTTGCATATCACAGTAAATGAGGAGGTCCCAGGAAGGGCACTGGAGAATGAGGCAGCACTTGTTCCCAATGCTCCATAGTCTAATTTGTGGGGCTGGGAGTGTGACATTTGAATTGTCTTCTGTTTTTCCTCTCTTTTCTGACCTTCCTTTGTAGCTGCTGGAGACCAGACAGCTCACATCTGGAGGTATATGGTTCAGCTGCCCACCCCTCAGCCTACAGCAGACTGTAACGTAAGTGATGCATTCTGGGGTGTGGTTCTGGTTACTGAGATGAGATTTTTCTTAGGAGAACTCTCTTGGTCGAACTGAGGAAATGCATCCCCTTTTGAGCACGGAGATTATTGATTGCTTTATATTTTACTGTTTCCCTTCTTCATAACTGTCACATGTGCCTGGTCCATTCTGGCCTACGTGTAAGTGTGCCCTGAGTTCCCTAAGTTTTGATTCTGTGGCTTTCCTCAGATAGATATTACTGCTAGACCCAGTGGAAGTGTGTTGGTATATTATCTGTGTCCCTCAGGAATGTGCAACTAATGGAATTAAACACAGCAGCTGCAGGAACTGTTCCCTTAGCATTCATAGCAACTCTAGTTCTTCCACCAGTTGTGTTGCCTGCAGCCAATTCCCTGATGTAGGAGTGCAAGGACAGCAGGGCATGGCTCTGCGGCTAGAAACACTGCCCATGATATAATGAAGGTTGTATATATTCTTGAAAGAAAGAAAACATGTTTGTGGTACTGTTTCCCAAAGGCCTAGGACAGTTTACTATCTAAAAATAAAACCCCAAGAGAAGGAATGTTTTGCAGTCTATGTATTTTTCAGATAATAGATAAAACAAAATGTCCCTGCAAAATTCATCCAGTATTAGTCTTTCCTTCCTGTGTTCAGTCTGTTCTCCAGGTGTACTTACACTGCGTTACCTGCTCTTTCCCCGTCCCTGCCTCCACTATTGTAGATTTCCTTCACAGCCCACTCTTTCGCTCTTGTGGTAGTAATCTTCCCCCTCCGCCCTTCCACAAACACAAGTGGGAATCTGTATAGCAGAAAACATGGAGTTGCAGTAGGTAATTGTTATGTTAATGCTCAGTTCCAGCTCTTCTGGAAAAACACGTTCAAATGGGCAGGTTTAATACATTTTCAGTTTTCTCAAAATTGACAGCAAATGTCTGGAGAAGATGAAGTGGAGTTCTCTGATAAAGATGAACCTGATGGAGATGGAGATGGCTCTAGTGATTGTCCCACTATCCGAGCTCCTTTAACCTCCCTGAAAAGCCACCAAGGTGTAGTCATAGCAGCAGATTGGCTGGTTGGAGGGAAGCAAGCTGTGACAGCTTCATGGGATAGGACAGCAAATCTCTATGATGTGGAGACATCTGAACTTGTGCATTCTCTGACAGGTACCTCTTCCTATGGATGTTTGATCTTTCGCTTCTTTCTTATGCTGATTGGTTTCAAGTCACTGCTGTTGAGCTTAGAAATCCAGACTTTTTATTTACTTGCAGGCAAGGAAGAGTAAATAGGGCAATTAATTATGAGTGTGAGCTTTCAGGGTGCTGAGCCTCATTTTATTGCTTCTTTTAACTCTATTGCTTCCCTTGTCCCAAAGGGCCAGAGCAGCTAAGAGTTTGAAAATAAGATCTGAGTGGGGAATGTCATCTATTTCCAGTGCTTTACATCTGCCTTCCTCTGTGAGGTACCTCTGTTGACTACAACCCCTGTTAACACCAGTTGACTTGCAAGGGGTAATGAGAATTGCAGCTCAACTTATTTGGGGGGCATTGAGAAATTATAAGTTTGCTGGTTAACCCATACAGAATATCTATCTAAATTTTAAAGCATTTTGTTGGAATAATCAATAAACTTTCTTGTTGAGCTATCTGCAACTCCTTGTATTCAAAGAAATTTAGAACTTCATGGGTTGGACCCAGCAACATGATACTGCAAGCAAAGACTGTCCTCCCCAGCATCCCCCCAACATCCTCCAAATCTGCTCCAGAGTGTCTGTAGTACGTGTTGGGGGAACCCCTAGGTTGGTGGGTGTATGGGGGGGGGGGCTGCAGCAGGGTAAGGTGTCCCATTCCACAGGCAAGATCTTCTGCTTATGTCATTGTAAAGCTGGACTAAACTTGTGGGCTGCGCTCAAGAGTGCAGTTGAAGACTTTCCATAACTAGATGAAAGAAATGCAGTATTTGTAAATAAAACGGATGTATGACTTGCACATAAAGATTAGAAGCTTAACTGTATCTTTATTTGTCTTTTATTTTACTTTCCCCAACGAGCAATATCCTGATGGTAGTTTGTTAATCGGTAGGCCATTAAACTGCAGTGTGGATTAGCTGAAGTAAAAGGGTGGGTTGGATGATTTATACATCTAGCAGCCATATGGCTTTGCAGTCCTAAGTGAGATCATTAAATTTTTGGTCATCCATGTTCAACGACTGCTGTAAGTCTCCTTTGACAGACAATTACTCTAGTGGCAGAGAATTAAACATTCATAGAGCTAAAGAGTTGCTCTAAGATTTCTGGTCATAATTTTCCCATTATTGAGGTGCAGAAAGTAGCTGCTTCTGGCATTAAATTCCTGATGTCTCCCTGATATGTAAGTGTCTGAAGTTAGCAGGCTACTTTCTGCACTTCTGAAGAAAAGACAGTTTAGTAGTTTAGCACTTTCCCCTCTCTGTGTCTTTAATCAAGGAGTCAAGCTGTCCATGTCCATTTTGGTTTTTGGTTCAAAAGCTGATCTTTTTAGGGGAAGTTGTGCTCACCATCAGGACTTAGGAACAGCACAAAGTTGGATCCATGCACTTCTAAATATATTGGTAATGGTGACCAGGATGTGAAATAGGGAATAAGAGTCATGTGCATGTGGACAATGTGTTTATCCAGTCAGGCCCTGCCTTCCTGGGGCCATGTTGCTTGCCACCAAAACAGAAGGATTGTCTCTTTGCTGTTTCTTTCCCAGCATTTGTGAAAACAACTGTTTTGCATTCTCAGGGCCTTAATGTTTTCATCTGTATTTGTAGGACATGATCAAGAACTTACACATTGCTGCACGCATCCCACCCAGCGTCTTGTAGTGACCTCATCGCGTGACACAACGTTCCGTCTGTGGGATTTCAGAGATCCTTCTATCCATTCTGTGAATGTCTTTCAGGGCCATACAGAGTAAGTGACAGCTGTTTCCTGGGGTTTCTGGGGAGGAGGGGGATTGTGTTGTGCCACTTATCCCAAGGACTTTCTGTTCTCTGGATTGTGACAGTGATCATTTTTATTTTGGAACTTCTCAGAAGTTCATTTTCTTCTTCTTATCCCAATTAAAGCTTAGCCAGGGCCAAGGGAGAGTAAGATAAGACACGCCCCTCTTTTAGTTACATCAGACTGTGACTTTGAGAGGCTGCATCAATTTGAAAAGAATGTTCTTAAAATACTGCATGTGTATTGCACCAGGGAATGGACTGGTGGTGGGTTTTCCAGCAGTAGCTTCCATTACACCTTGAGGGCTTGGAACATCCCTCTTCTCGCATGGCTTGCACTCTTCCTTAACACCTGGGGGAGTGGGTGCATGTACATATACACAGCAGCCTGCTGAGGATTCTGCTTCTTTCATGCCATAACTGAGCTGTTCTTCTTTGAGGCACCACAAGATTGCAGCAGATTAAATCTGCTACTCCTCTGAATCCAGTGAACTACATGTCTCAAGAGAATCTAAGGTGTTTTGTGGAAGCTAGGAGTGCTCAAATCTGGTGAACCTTGAAAATACGCCAGTCCTGTGCAGGGGGATTTCTGGACTCATTCTAGGGTCATGTAAATGTTCCAGGATCAGAGGCAGATTCCATAATCTGCTGCTGAAATAAGGGTGTGTATCTCTGGATTTTTGCTGTACCTCTGCTGGAAGCAACTGAAGCAGAACTACCTAGATCAGTTTCAACTCAGTTTAATTGCTTACAACCCTAGGCCATCACAGTGGATCTATTTCATTTCCAAAGGATAAGGTGGCAGTCTTTCAAGTTGTAGCATCTCCTGGGGCTTAAGATCAGGCTACTGTGTAGCAAGCAGATATAAGCATATTAAATATTCTCATTGAAGTCCATAGTGATTCTCACTGAGGAAAGAAATTAAACCATAACTGGAAGATTTTCTTGAGATAAAGTGCACACTGCATGCTAAAGCCCTACATTATTTATACTAGTATCAACAAGGTTTAAGGTTAAAAGTCACATGTGTTTTCAGTGCTCAGTCATGATACAGTGTTTGGCAACCTGAAGCTGTTAAGAACGTAACTTTTAAGAGCATGAAGATTACGAAAAACTGTAACGTCAGGCCACTGACTCTCGGTATGTCATTAATCCACAACAGCTTAAGCAGAAATATTTTGCACTTTCTTAAGAAAGCTGAAATGAGCTTACATGGGGTCCACTCCAGTCCCTTTTTGCTTTCACGGTGTTGTAGCATGAACAGCTCTTGCACCAGTCATTGCTTGACTTGCACTGATTGGTGCAATCGCAAGGGGAGGTCAGCATGTTCTCAGTACATCAAAGATGCAACAATTTAGACTGTTGGGGAAGGTGTGATGGTAGAAGCGCTTGCCTTGGAACTCTTTACTTGTGGATGAAGACTGGTTTGTTGCAATGCATGACTGCAGATATCCCAGCCTACCATATTGGATAGTATCAGAACATGATGCTTGTCCTATGTGTAGCTTTACTTACACTCACCATACTTAAAAATAGCTGTAGGCAGTGCTTTTCCATGGATTCGTTTCTTTGCATGTTACTCGATATTCTGTCCGTGACACTTTTTAACATCTATACAAAATGACTGGTGGGCGGAGGGATTTACTGGGTGTTTGGCATCCACAGTCTAAAGGCAGTAATTTATATCCTGTTTTCTCAAATTGCATGGAGATGGTATAATCCCTGAATTGTTGCCTGAAATCATTAATGGACTGGACAGAGTCCAGGAAATGCAAGTTCTGTCCAAACAAGGCAGTGGTAATGATGATCAGTGGAGATTTAAATTCAGATGATTCAGGTTCTGCTCTAGAGGAGGTCTCACTCTCCATGGGGAAACAGGCACACAGTTTGAGAATGCTTCTTCAGCAGTTTTGTGTCCAAGCGTGTCCTGTGTTGCTTCTGTAGTCCATGCTCTGTTAAATTCGAGACTGAGCTGCAACAGCAGCAGCATGCAATATGTGGGGCTGCATGTGGAGGCAGTTGAGAAATTCCTGATGGTAGAAGGTACAGTCACAAGGATTTTCACTTGTGCAGGTTTCCATATGAATTTTGGTATATGTTAATCAAAACAACTGGTTTCCTGAAATATTGGTTATACCTTCCAAGATTGATTCAAAGTGCTGTTTTTGGCTTCTACACAACCTAGATCATGCCTCCTTCCATTTATCTCCCTTCCCATGTCTTAAGAATCTCTAAACAAGTTCTGATGTGGATATCCACAACACATGAAATACGATCTTTGGCCACACAATCCAGAAACTTCACAGTGCTGGTGCTGAAGGATGTACAATTCTTGGTTTTTTCATGTTATTTCTTTACTTACGTGGCTTATAAATTAAGGAATGAGAAAAGTCTTCTTTAGACTTGGGATTAGACATGAATTTATTTATTTATTTATTTATTTATTTATTTATTAAAACATTTTTATGCCGCCCCATTCGCCGAAGCCTCGGGGCGGCTTACAACATAGATAAAACAAGTTAAAATCCATATAAAATAATCTTAATTAAAACTCACATTATAAAATAAGCCGCCCTGGCCAGATAAAATTCAATTGTATTTAGCATTTAAAATGTTGCTTAAATAAAAAGGTCTTAGCCTGGCGCCGAAAAACAAATAACGACGGCGCCAGGCGGACCTCTCTGGGGAGCGCATTCCATAACTTAGGCGCCACCGCTGAGAAAGCCCTTCTCCGAGTAACCACCCTCCTAATTTCTCTCACGGAGGGCTCCCGGAGAAGGGCCTCTCCCGCCGATCTCAGGGGGCGACTGGGCAAATATGGATGTAAGCGCTCCTTCAGGTAACCAGGACCCAAGCCGTTTAGGGCTTTATAGGTCATTACCAACACCTTGAATTGGGCCCGGACTTCAATGGGGAGCCAGTGAAGCTGACGGAGAACTGGCGTCATGTGAACATAACGTCCAGTCCCCGTCAGCAGCCTGGCAGCTCTATTCTGAACCAATTGAAGTATCCGGACCGTCTTCAAGGGTAGCCCCACGTAGAGCGCGTTACAGAAGTCAAGACGGGAAGTCACCAGCGCATGAGTCACTGTTGCAAGGCAGTCGTACTCCAGGTAGGGGCGCAGCTGATGAATCAGCCGAAGCTGGAGGAAAGCGCTCCTCGCCGCTGTTGTCACCTGAGCTTCAAGTGAAAGCTCCGGGTCGAGGAGCACTCCCAAGCTGCGGACCTTGTCCCTAGGAGGGAGTGCAACCCCATTCAGGACAAGGTTCAGGTCACCTTCTCTGAAGCCCGAACCGCCAACCAACAGGACCTCCGTCTTGTCTGGATTGAGCTTCAGTTTATTGGCCCTCATCCAGCCCATTACCTCGGCCAGGCACCGGTTCAGTACAGCCACTGCCTCACCTGGATTGGTGGAAAACGAGAGGTAGAGCTGGGTATCATCAGCATACTGATGGGTCTGCAGCCCACACCTCCTGATGACCTCTCCCAGCGGTTTCATGTAGATATTGAACAGTAAAGGGGACAAAATGGAACCCTGCGGTACCCCATGGCAAAGCTGCCATGGCGCAGAGCCATAGTCCCCCAACACCACCTTCTGGAATCGGTCGTTGAGATAGGAGCGGAACCACCGCAAAGCGGTGCCTCCGACCCCCAATCCCGCCAGCCTATCCAGAAGGATACCATGGTCGATGGTATCGAAAGCCGCTGAGAGGTCCAGGAGAACCAACAGGGACGCACTCCCCCTGTCCTTCTCCCTGCACAGGTCATCGTACAGGGCGACCAAGGCAGATTCAGTACCGTACCCGGGTCTGAAGCCGGACTGCAATGGGTCCAGATAATCAGTTTCATCCAAGAGTGCTTGGAGTTGTCCCGCCACCACTCGCTCTAACACCTTGCCCAGAAACGGGATGTTGGCCACTGGTCTATAGTTAGCGGCCATCCCTGGATCCAGTGACGCCTTCTTCAGGACCGGTCGGACTACCGCCTCCTTTAAAGGGGCAGGCACCCGACCCTCCCTCAGAGAAGCGTTAACCACTTCCAAGATCCAGGTTCCAATCCCGTGCTTGGAATCCTTTATTAACCAAGACGGGCAAGGGTCCAGAAGGCAAGTGGTAGGACGTACTTGTCCAAGCACCTTGTCCACATCATCGGGCCGCAATAACTGAAATTCATCCAATAATTCTGGACCAGACGGCAGCGTTGGTGTCTCCCTTAAAACCTCTGAATCAATAGTGGAATCCAGCTCGTGACGAATCTGAGCGATTTTCTCCCTAAAATGCTCGGCAAAGTCGTCACAGCGGGCCTTTGAGGGTGGAGTCAGCTCTTCCTTTGGCCCTGGGTGAACCAGGCCTTGCACCACTCGAAAGAGCTCCGCCGGACGGCATTGTGAGGAGGCAATGGAAGCGGAGAAGTGTCTCTTTTTCGCCGCCCTCACCGCCACAGCATAGGCCCGATAGTGGGCTCTTAAGTGTGTTCGGTCAGATTCATCACGTGATTTCCTCCACCTACGCTCTAGCCGTCTCCCAACCTGCTTCATTGCCCTCAATTCTGGAGTGTACCAAGGGGAAGAGCGGGCTCTGCCCGGTGGGAGAGGACGCTTAGGAGCGATCGTGTCTACAGCCCTGGTCATCTCCCCATTCCACAGTTCAACCAGAGCCTCGACAGGAGCACCCGTCTTGTCAGCCGGAAACTCCCCCAGAGCCTTCAGGAATCCTTCCGGATCCATCCGGCTCCGGGGGCGGACCCACACAATCGGGTCTGCACCCTTACAGAGGGAGATGTCGCTCTCGAGCACAAACCTCACTAGGAAGTGATCTGACCATGACAGGGGAGTCAAGCATAAATTACTCACCCTCAGACCACCCTCTTCCTGCCCCGTCGAGAAAACCAGGTCCAGAGTGTGTCCACGTTCATGGGTCGGGCCGGTGACATGTTGAGACAGCCCCATGGCCGTCATGGAAGCCATGAAGT